TGTTCCTCCCCAGGTGCAGGACCCTGCACTTGCCCTTGTTGAACTTCATCAGGTTCCTCTCTGCCCAACTCTCCAGCCTGTCCAGGTCTCACTGAATGGCAGCACAGCCTTCTGGTGTATCCACCACTCCTCCCAGTTTGGTGTCATCAGCAAACTTGCTGAGGGTACACTCTGTCTCTTCATCCAGGTCATTGATAAAGAAGTTAAACAAGACTGGGCCGAGCACTGACCCCTGAGGGACACCGCTAGTTACAGGCCTCCAACCAGACTCAGCGCCGCTGATGACAACCCTCTGAGTTCTGCCATTCAGCCAGTTCTCAGTCCACCTCACTGACCACTCATCCAGCCCACACTTCCTGAGCTTCCCTAGGAGGATGTTATGGGAGACTGTGTCAAAAGCCTTGCTGAAGTCGAGGTAGGCAACATTCACTGCTCTCCCCTCATCTACCCAACCAGTCACCACCTGATCCCCCATGCAAGCTCACTGCAGACGTGGCTGAATTTGCTCTCATCAGCTGACAGCTTTCACTTGGGCTCTTCCCTCATTAAATAAAAACTTGACAAAGCAGCCGCAGACTTCCTTGGTAGTGTTACATCATGTGCCAGTAACAGGTATTATTAGGCTAAACACATTTACACAAAACATTATGAAACACCACTGTCGGGACTCATTTAAACAAGTCATCTACTGCCAGTGCTCTCTGCTTTGCTCGCCTACAGGCACAGGAACCTGCTGAAGTAAGGACACGGTAAGGAAAGGCAGGACCCAGCTCACAATATCCACGTCCCAAGGCTCTCACTGCTTCCTATTCCCTTCCTGTTATTCTCCACCCCTCTCATTTTGATGACCCGCTGCTGTCGTTTTTATTTGGTTTGCTTTGAGATTTTGTTCCCTAGCAGCCAACCTGTTCCTGTAGATTTTTCCAGTTACTTTCCCCCCACTGAATGTTTTTTTCCAGTTACATTCCTTCAGGTGCTGAATAGAAATGCCCGTTCAGCAAGGATGGTGCAGGGACTACACTGTATCTCCGAGACCCACTTGCATTTAACCCAGAATGAGCAGAATTACAGTGGATGAAGAAGAAAAAAAACAAAACAACCACCAAAACAGAAATAAATTGGGGGAAAAGTTTCTGGGTTTTGGTCAGGACAGAAGGGATGGCTCCAGCTACCTGCCACCTAGCAGCTCCCACTCCAGCTCCCACGCTGGGGCAACACAGCGGTGGTATCTGCTGTGGGGAGCACCAAGTTGCCTGAACGGAGGCCACAGAAGCAGCAAGCCCATGCCTGGATTGCCAGGGGGTTCAGGCATGCTCCACCTCTGAACCTCTGTACCTACACTCCTGCTGCAGCCAGAAGTTTGCTTTTATAAACATTGTATTTACAAACAAATTAATCCAAATGACGGTTATAATACACAAAGAAAAATAAATATACAATCTGTTCTAATCTTTGAAAAGGGTAAATACAGTCTGAAGGGCAAATATACTCTGATATCGGCCATCGACAGACTGGCACTTTTTTCACCTCCCCAGTTCAGGCAGAAAAACCACACATCACCACCATGACCAGCAAACTGTTCCCCGGAGAGGTGACTGGGAGAGCAGAGACGGGGACCACCCTCCCTCCCCGGCGTGGGGCTGGAGCCAGGGGTACCCCCACGCCACACCAGCACGTATTCACATGCACAACTGTGCTTGCTTCCCATGGCAATTTTTCAGTGCTTTTTTCCATACTGAGCAACATCAATAGAAACATCTAATTTCAAAGAGAGAGAAATTCTCCACTGCTTGTTCAAAGCATGTTCTCCGTACCAACATGTTGTTCACGTACTCCTTATCCTCCACAGGCCAGAAGTTCTCCCTCTTCCTTCCACAGCCTCAGAAGTTTGGTGCCAACCGTATCGCCAGATATTCCCTAAGCAACCACAGGGAAACGCACACCTTGCCAAATTCTTGGTCTAAGCTTGGCCTCTTTACTCTTTCCTTGCGCCAATGGCACATTGTAGCAAAAAGCTGCAAACAGTAATTATTCCAAGAGAAACACTTCCTGTTACCAATTTTCACTTTGTTGTTTTTAATGTAATTGAATGGCTCCTAGTTCTTATGTAATAAGAAATATCTTTTTAGCTAATCTTCTTCAGCCTTCTCTTTAACGTGTTGCTAAATCTCAAATGCTCAGAAGAATCCCTATAGTTTAATCTCTTCTTTCAGAGAGACCACTTTTGATTGCACCTGTCATTTTTATTACATCCTTTTCTTTTGCTGTCTCTCCCTCTTTTGGGGACAACAAGGGCAAGAAGTAAAGGATTAGTGACAGAAAGTTGGTCAAAGCTCATCATCTGACTGATATAACAAATATTTCTAGCATTTTATCCTCCCTTAAGCATCTTCTAATTATGATCCTTGGGATTTTTTTTTTTAATGTGCTTTGGTTTCTCTCACTGTAACTGTCCCTACTTATTCCCTTAAACTGTTATAATATTTAGACCTAAATGATTTTTTAGATGTTCTAACAGGTGGCTATAAGAGATATTTCAAATGCCACTGAAAGCTGAGAGAAATCATGCTGCAATTCTACTTCACTTACTGTCTTGTCAGGAAGCCAGAAAAGCCACAAGT